TTTATTTAGGGGAAAGCCACAAGAGATCATGACATCGCCTCGAATATCGTAATTTGGCCTTAAATTGGGACTGGATACTTCCACTCCGTACTCCATACTCCATACTCCATACTCCATACTCCGTATATGACTACCATATTACGTATCATGTTTTACCATATATTAATCAATCTTGAATGCAAGCCTCATCCCACTGAAACCAATTTAATCTCACAAGGGCCCTGAGTGGCCCTTGTGTTGTCGGTGCGGTTATGGTCGAATTCCCTCGGAACCTGGCGGATGTAAAATAATAAAATAAAAAGGAGAGTAAAAATGTGTGATTGGAATTGTGAATTGTACAAAAAAAAATACTCCGTCCTCCGTACTAAGAGGGTCCCTCGATCGTATCAGTCCACAGTCATTGGCCTGTCATAATTTTTGATCGACCTGGTCTCACCTGGGCACGCTATTGCTCGCTGTGCCTAGTTGATTGGGTTAGCGTGGTTGAGATAAACAGAGCTATGTATTTCGTGCGAGTACGAAGTACAATAATGTGGATATCGTAGCTAATTCGTATGTGCCCCGTGCATTGTAGCTAACTATGTACTTCGTACTCCGTACAGAGTACTTGGTTACGGAGATGAATATGAAGCATCTTCAATTCACACGGCGAACGCCGTAGACTCTGCACACTGCACACCTTCGTATGAGATACAGCCATTCACAACAGCCAACGCCAAAACGAGACAGCCCCCTGGTGGACAGTGGACACTAGAGTGAAAATCCGAGACAGGGTTTGCAGGGTGTTTGCCTGTCTCTCTGCGCCTTTCCATCTTCTAGTGCGTGCGTTAGGCTAAGCCACTTTTTATGTTTTGACTTGGATTTTTGCCTCGAACAGCGTAATGCATCAGGTAACTGTATTTTATATTTTAGGTCTTCTTTTACTTTTGTTGAATGTGCTTGATTTATGCTCGATAACTTTCTTTCAACCAAGGTGGTTTCAGGTGTGTGATCAACGACCATAAATATATTTAGGAGATATGTACATGGCACTGTGGTCCGAAGTAGGAAATTTAGTCACTGACAATCATACGAGATCATCTAACTATCTACATTCATATCTTGCTACATATGTACTCGCCCCTTCGCCCCCTCGCCCCCAAAGGGGATCCTAATTTCCTTGCCGTGTGTTCAGCTTGACAGTTATCGTGCTTTCCCTGCAGCATGCAGGGGAAACTGTTATTCTGTAAATTCATGACCACCTGATACTGATACTGAGCTGGTTGCTAATCAAACAGCATTATATATATACCCTGGATGGCTGTATTTAATCTAAATTGGCAGATATCCAGGTTGACATGGTGCTTTGAATCCGTCAAGGCCATATCACTGCTACAAGAATCGGGTAAAGGATGACCAAAGTTGCTACGAAGGTCTGCAAGTCAGATTGGAACTGCTACCAGGGCCTACATCCACCCAGCTCGTAGATACATTGCATGGCGGGGGTTTATTATCGGGCTCCTAGAGTTGCAGGTGGACGGGCTCCGACAGATGTGGGAAAATCACCAGGAGGATAGATGATCGGAGATTGAATTTTGGTGTCTATATCCACTCTGGCTGGATCGAATTGGTAAGGTCTTGGGGTCGTCAGGTTGAAACCACGACCGCAGGGCGGTGCATATTTCTATCTGATTGTCTTCGGCTTTGACTTGTTTCGCAGACATCGATAACTATGGCATCGCAACTCCACATTGAGATTCCAAGATCCCCGAAAGGATACGGTCATGATACGTTTTGAACAGTCGTGTAGGGCTAACCCATTCTTGCTTCCATTGCTGTTTTCGAATACATGGAAGGGTTGTGCCTCATTTCAATACCACGGGAGGGCAGAGGCAGCGCCCAACGGCGGAGAAAAACATATCAAAACCCGAGCTAGTGCGCCATAACAATTGAAAAGAGGTTTGAAAAAAAGGAAAAGAAATTTCAAATCAACAAAGTTTTCACCTAGGCATGCCTAAGCCATGTAGGTGGTGGAGTCAACACCGGCCTCGGGGTACTCACTGCGTACATCGTTAGTATTTTGATAAAGGGTATTACAGTTTGGAATTGAAGGAAACTTACGGAAGGGCAACCTCAAAGCGCTTCTCAATCTCCTTGAGGACCTTCTCGTCATCCTCGTTGCTGACGAAGGAGATAGAAAGACCCTTGGTACCGAAACGACCGGCACGACCAACACGGTGCAGGTAAGAGTCAGCGTCGGCGGGGAGATCGTAGTTGATGGCGAGGTTGATGCGCTCGATATCAATACCACGGCCGAAGACATCAGTGGCAACACAGATACGCTTGTTGAACTCCTTGAACTCCTTGTAGCGCTTGATACTAGATGGAGGTCAGCAAATTGCCCCGGCCAATGTCGAACTCGGATGGACCTACCGCTCCTCCTGGCTGACACCAGAGTGAACTGCGATACTGGGGAAGTTACACTCGCGCAGCAACTTGTCTAGCTCGTTAGCACGTTGGGTGCTCTTGACGAAGATGATAACCTGGTTGAACTCGAGGTTGTCCAAAAGCTCATTCAGCTTGCGGTTCTTCTCCTTTTCGTCGAGCTTGATGTAGTACTGTTGCAAGCCGTGGAGGGTGAGCTTGGTATCATCATCGACATAGACCTCCAGCGGGTTGCGCATGAACTTCTTGCAGATGGGACGAATCTCCTGGGAGAGGGTGGCACTGAACATCATAACCTGCTTGTCGGCGGGAGTTGCACGGAAGATTTCCTGGACATCACGGCGCATGTCTGAGGGAAGGCGTTAGTGGGATGTGATAATCAAGTCGTATCTCGTATGCACGTACCAATTTGGTCAAGCATCTTGTCACACTCGTCGAGAACAAAGGCCTTCACGTTGCGCAATGACAATTTCTTGTCACGGACCAGCGCGTTCAGACGACCGGGAGTGGCAACAACAATGTTGGGGTGGGTCTCCTTGTTGGACAGAATTTCGACGTCTTTCTGGATCGGGGTACCACCATAGAAGACCGCAGTCTTAACGTCGGGCAGGTACTTCGAGAAACGGGCGTACTCGTTCTTGATCTGATAAGCAAGCTCACGGGTGTGGCACATAACCAGGATCTGGCACTCGCCAGGAACGGGCTCCAATTGATGAAGGGTGGTGAGAACGAAGACCGCGGTCTTACCGAGACCGGACTTGGCCTGGCAAAGAACATCGACGTTCAAAATGGAAGTCGGAATGCAAACTTGCTGGACTGTTGGAAGGCGGAGCCGATGTTAGATTGGGTTCGACGAAAGAAGAAGCAAAAAAAAAAATCCTGTCTCGCAATGTCCGTCCATCCCACCCCAACATCAAATTGATGTTGGGCAGTCATCTTCCACCGCTTGATCAAACCACCATGACTGCACATCACATTAAAAGCCAAGCTTTTTGTGGATATCCTGTCATATTCTGCAGACAACATGAGGTGCGCCTCACAAGGAGACAAACGTGATAAATATCACAGTCTTCCACCGCGTGCGCTAATCTCCACAAGAGTACGTGGGAGTTGGGAACGGAGGCTCAGGCTTACGCGCAAGAGCGCCACGGGACCAAACGCGTATATATTGTAAAGAGATATTGTCCTTCTCAGGAGCAATAACCCTCATGTCGTCTGCAGATTCGAAACACGACTGCTTGCCAAATACCGATAGAAGAATCTTCCCGCGAGGATGGACGGACGTTGGAGATTGGACAAATGGAGGAACGCTTGTGGGAATAATGAGTTAGACTAACCCTCCGATGGATGTTCGAAGCCGCAGTCGGTGATGGCGCGCAGAAGTTCACCCTTCAGCAGGAAGTCGCGGAAACCGGTGGAGTGGATACCGACATAGCTGCCCTTCTTGTCGGGACGGCCGCCGGTTACAGTCAAGTCACCCTGCTTGTCGGCATCATCGCCATTGGTGGCAGTAGGCGCAGCAGTGGTGGCTGGTGCTGTGGTGGTCTGAAGCTCCTCATCAGAGTAGTCGATGAGATCTTCCTCGTGAGACATGGCGACGTAAATAGGCGAGTTTTGAGGAGTAAAGTAAAATTATTGGGGGAGGGCGATGATGTGGGGTTGAAGTGAAAAGAAGACAAAAGGTAGTAAGGAGAAGATTATGGACCGCGGGAATGTGGCAGGTCTCGATAGACAAAGGTGAAGGGGAAGAAGTCACAAGGCGGTAGGACGAAGACCTCACCAAGGGAGAATCACGTGGTTCATCAGCCTCACCGCTTTTGGTCTAGCGTCAATTGGGAAGCTTTTCTCGAATTACAGGTTGCAGCAAACACCCTTGAGATCCACTTGCTTGTTGATCTGTCGAATTTTCGAGAATGGCAAAAGCCAAAGGAAAGAAGGAAGCCAAGAACTCCAAGAACTCCCAGAGCCATATTCGAGCACGGCTGGATTACCTACATCAAGCCGCCGCATATTTTCAGGGCAAATCTACACTCACCGAGGGTCAGAACGTCAAAGTTCACAAACACACCTCAGATGCTGGTCATGTTGACCCCGAGAATGATGGCCACACAGTAGATACTCAACAAGTCTGCTCTGTGGATCAAAAAAAGACTCAAGAGCCATTGAGAAATCTCTCAAGAGTATGTGTATCACATCTACGCGCCGTTGCAATGAAGACGCAAATTCGGTTGCCGGTCACACTGAAGAGATCAGTTTGTAAGCGCTGTGACACGATCCTGATTCCGGAAGTGACTTGCTCGCATGAAACCAAAAACGCAAGTCGCGGCGGCAAGAAGCCATGGGCCGATGTACTGGTCGTCCGGTGCCTCTCATGCGGAACTGAAAAGCGGTTCCCTCAGACGGGGAAACGCGGGAGAAAGCTCGTTGAGCGCCGCAACGAGAAAAAGTCGGCGTCGGTACTCGATGTGAATTCACTAGAAGTGGATACCTCAGCGGCGTCGCAAGGAGAAGCAGTCGAATTATGTAAAGAGAATATGTCAATGTTGGATGCTGCGGATGTTCCAGTGACGTGAATTTCACCCGCCGAGTTCATACAATACGCTTGGGGTCACTTCCATATCTTGGACCTTACACCCTGCGCATTCTCCCATGTTCCGTGCTCCGTCATGTTCCGTCATGTTCCGCGGAACACGGAACTGGTGCGGTCGCACTTTCAGGATGCGCGCTTCAACAGACCAGTGTACCTTGCGTTTGCCATATCCATGAGACCATGACATCAAGGCGCCCCAGTGAAGGGCCTGTAAACCGCGCTGTTTGTGGGCTTTTACAATGGGATATCAGCTACAATGACCAGAGTTGTCCAGCAAAACAGGGAAATTATGTCCACCATCATCCCGGAAGGAGTCTCAGACCCCGTGAGTAGCCTCAGTATACCCGCAGCGACCACACCCACACGGCCGACATGCTTGATTTTCAAATCCGGCCTCTGACATTTCTCAAGGTTTGTGTCAGCGTTGGAGGACACAATGCAAGGGGTGCGCGATTCAATCGGTTTGAAGAAACTGTTCCCAATTATATTGCAGAACACCATAAGCCAAGCTATAACCATCCCAATGATGGACATGGGCCAACGTCAACGCAAAAAAGAAAAAAAAGAGAAGGAAACCCAGAGCAATGTACACGCAACATGCAGAGAGGGGAATCAAAACAACAGGGAAATACCAGAAGCATCAAATCAAACAAGAAGATACAAAGACGGGTCGTGTTTATGCGCTTGAAATCACATTAAAAATCCTTCATCATAGTCATCAAATCTCATGGATTTTCAGTACCAGTACCGGGTGGGAACCGAGTTGGCATGGCCGTCGTGGGCGGAGCTCAAGCAAGTTGTGGAAATACTACAATCCTTTCAAGGTCGCATGCTCTCAACACCGGTGTCTCGCCTCGATGGCGCCGCGAGGCATGCAGTTCTTACAGCCAATTGTGTCATAAAGCAGATAACCAGATCACTGAAATGTGACATACATGAATACGGTGGCCGAGGCGCATTCAAAGAAAAGAGTCCGTGAGGACACATTCGATATATAGTTTTTTGTTTCTTTTTGTTCTGTCGGCTTTGGTGTGTTGTGGTTTGGGTACTTGTGTGGAGAAATATAGGTGCGTATTGGTCGAACCATCCAGTGATCGAGTAAAAGTGAGATGTGCAAAACGCATGACCGTAAACGGTCTTTCGGGGGCGCTTGAAGACAGGTGTGGGGTTGGAAGTATATGGAGGGGTTGTGTATGGGAATGTATCATCGTCGGCGCCGAGAACTCTGGTCAATGCGGTGATCTAGGTTCTCGATCCGGCCACGGAAAGACTTGACGATATCGCGGATATGAGCGATCTTCGCCAACTCATTGTCCAACTCGTCGATAGAAGCCAGGATTTCACGGGTACGGGCGATTTCGGCATCGGCATTGCGAATGACGTTTCCCGCGCGGTCGTAGGTGTTTTGGATGGAGCGCTGCATTTGATCCTCGAGCTAGCAAGGATGTCCTCATGTTAAAACTAAAACAACGAAATGTGTTTTCCTGATGGTATGGACATGCGGCCAAGAACCGCTGGGGAAAACATACATATTCGATCCGCTGACTGATCTGAGCTTGCAAGCTGTCTAGCTGGTGTGATAGTGCGCGGAGGCTCATAGGATCCAGCAGCAGACGGCCCTGGCTGCTGGCAGCGCTGGTTGCGCGCGAGCTGGAATTGCTGGTTCTTCCGGTGCCTCTGCCCCTGGCCACCCCATTGCCGACATGGCCGCCCTGCAAGGCAATCTGCTGTTGCTGTCGGAGGATCTGGATCTCGGAGGAGGTGAGGCCAAGCGAAGTGTCGGGAATCGAGGCTGAGACGGACATTTGGTCCCGGCAGAGACATGCTCCGACCGCGACAGTCTACGAGGCGCCGATCAAACTCGATGTGAGACCAAACGGACCACAGGTCATGATGGAGGATGGAAGGTGTAGAGAGGGGAGGTTGCGATATACTCCAGTCAGGTTGGGGAATGCGACTATTGACGGTTAAAGAGGGGAGGGGAGCTTCTTTTTTTCCCTCATGAGGAGAAATCAAAAAGGGAAAAAGAGGCGGAGAAGGAAGACGTGAGCCGCTGAGAGTTTGGCGGCAACTAAACAGCGCGCGGCTCCAGAGAAGCCAGTTACACTCCCCGACGAAGAGGCTAGTGAGATTTCTATGTTATATGTTCTGGAACACAGGCTCAGGTGGAAATATGATACCTCGGACCTCCCCATAAAGAGGGGCTTGAAGATGGAACGAAAATACCAAAAAAAAGCAAGATCTAGTGCGTTATGTATTTCTTCTTTTGATGTTTTAGGGGTTTCTTTTTTTCTTTCTTTTTTTTGGGTTTCAATATGTAAGTACTTGTGCAATGGTTGTTTTTATATTGGATTTGTCAATGCTGGGTGGGCTCTGCACCTATCTCGATGAGGGAGAATCAAGAGGCTCTGCAGTATGTGTACTAGAAATATAAGAGAATCAAGAGCACTGGTGAATACTATACATATATCTATGCAATGATGATATTAACCATATTAAAGCTCTCTGAAGTATATACCTTGATATATAAATCAATATAAGACTAGATGTACCCTATACGAGGGATGTCGTTGTAGTTTCAATTCTGAACCATGGTAGCTCCCTCCCCACTCTTCCACTCTTTTTTCTACGGTAAACTGCAGCGACCAACTAAAACTTAACTTTTGATTGGTTTCATAAATACACCGCCCTTTTCTCCGCTTTTACCATGTGTATACGACTGAGGTAGTTTTCTGCCAGTCAAAACTATCCAGCACAACCTTGGAACTCTGCCGTGGTACTTCAATTCCAACTTCTTTACTCAGCCGCTACTATCACATTCAATCTTACCTGCCTGTGTTGTGAGACTGAAAGAGACTGAAACAGGCCATTTTACCTGACACACCGCTTGTCACTTTCTCGCATTCGGCCTATGAGCGTCACCCAATCCCAATCCCGGACACCTGCAGTCTCGACCTGACGGCCCGACGCGATCGATCCAGTCGAGGCAACCTAACGCACTGATTACCTGTTATTCTGTGAGACAGACAAACCAGCTATCCTCATTGCGCGCTTTGTTTTCTAGTCTGCGCATTGCATCCTTGATTCCAACCATATCCTTCACGTGCGGCAAACCCCACAGAGCCCAGACGTTTGTGCCGGCACCTAATTTGGAAACTCTGGAATTGATTCGACAAGTGCCCGAGGGATTTATTACTGGCTTTCGCAGCTAGGTTACACCATACCGATAGTTACAAACTACCCACACACCAACCCCAATCCGACGTCATGGCAAAAGACAAAGAGCGCTCGGTCAACCCTGCCGCAGCACAGCGGAAACTTGATAAACAAAAAGAGTTGAAGAAAGGCAAATCCGAGGCATTAGCGCGCCGAAATGAGAAACTTGCGCGCCGCAACCCAGATCGAATTCAACGCCAGATCAACAGCTTCAAAGAAGCCGAGGAATCAGGACAAAAACTACGGCCGCGAGATAAGGAGCTCCTCGAAGCGCTGGAGAAGGATTTGAGAGGTGTTTTGAAGGCGCGTGAAGCTCTTGGCGACAAGGCACCCCGGTTCGATCACGGCGGCAGAGGAGGCCATTCGGGTGATGGTGCTAAACGAGGTGGTGGCGACGGCGTGCTTGGGAAGCGGAGGCGAGGCTCAGATGAAACACGAGTGCCTCGTGACAGTGACAGCAGCGACACGGATGAGGATGTACGAAGGATACCCATGCCGCGGGATACACCGCCACCGATCCCGCGCCAGCACCAGCGCAGACGGGATGTAAATGTACCTTCAGAACAGAATGTTGAGCGCAGTGGTCCTCACCCGCTGCCATCTCGTCCAACGGCGGTTCCGGCGGCCAGGACAGTTTACGAAGCGAAGCCTCAGATTCGGGACCTGCGACAGGAGGCAACTAAGAAGTTCGTTCCGGCTGCGGTCAGGATGAAACAGCAGTCAATTAAGGGAAAGGGGAAGTTGTTGGAACCGGAAGAGATGGACAAGCTTGAGAAAGCCGGGTATAATGCAGGCCCCGTCCCGGAAGCACAGGCTGGCGACTCGCCACAGGAGGATTGGATGTTGACGTTAGAAGAAGAGGAGCGGCGTTTTAACCGGGAGCGTAAGTCTGTTCAGATGGAAGAGGTCGAAGATGAGGAGGCCTGGGCTTAATGTCTGACCCTTTGAATAAAAAGTTTGACTAAACGTGATGCACCTAGCATGCCACAGAGTTCAATTATATGTGCATAATTGTGTATTCCATATATAGTCCAAAAGAGTAGCTAAGTGTACCGGTCATGCATCTTAGGGCTAGCGCTATGGATGACTCGACTGATACCTAAAAGTCTGGAATGCACAAAATATGTTTGTGTATGAACATGGGTGTGTGCATCCAACATTGAAGCATTGCAGTATCAGACCTTTGAACACTCCCTAGAACATCAAAGTGCAATAGACAGAGAGAACATGGCCGAGGAGAAAGATTATCCAAATGAGAAGTAGGGTGAGGGACTCCTGAGAGTCCGACGTAACCACAAAGCAACATATTTGCAACGGACAAGGATACAATGAGTCATAAATTAAGCGTTTAGAGAAACAGTAAGCAAAATACAAAAATCCAACAGTGAATGCATGGCTAATGCAAATTAATGTACAAAGAGGACTGAATCGTCTCCTTCTTTGAAGGAAAGGGGCGTGACGGCATAAGCAACAAAAGAAAAGTAGTAAAGAGTCCAGTCGTGGAGGCAAGTGTGTAGCCAACAGAGGCAAAGAACCATGGACGAGCCATAGGCATGTGTATCAAACTCCGTGTCTTGCATGTGGCAAGGATGCACCGAAAACATTAGGGCCAACTCCGTGACATAATGGGCAAGTATGGGCAAGAAGCGAAGTGCAAAACCCGAAAAACGGTGGGAAACAAGGGGAACTGAGGGTTTCCAAAGAAACCCAAATCATCGGAATCCAATCCAGAGAACAAAATAGGGGGGAAAAACTCCCTCAAATCCAAAACAAACTCCATCCACACCAAACCAAGACTCCATAAAAAAAACCCCCGGAAACCGGAAAGAAACTGAAAGAACAAAGTAAATGAAAAGGAAATCTGATCTGAGGGAAAGATTACCGCAGGTTGCGGATAACCTTCTTGCCACGGGCAAGGAAGGGGCTGGGCATCTCATCCAGTTCAGGGTTCCAGATAGCAGGAGCATCACG